CGCGAGGTATAAATTAGTGTATTAAAATAATTGATTTTATGGAAGCTTTGAAAAATTATTGTAGATTATTGGTTCGGCTGTAAATTAGTTGCTGTATAATTTAGGCTGTAAATGTTTTTGCTGTAACTATAGTTTTTTTTGCTGTGAGAAAATTATATTGTTATTATTAAAACCATAAAATAGTTACTTTAGAAAAAAAATCTAAAACATGAAAAAAAAAAATCAAGGCTAAAACTGTTGTAGGGGACCCATTAAAATTTTGAAAGTCTGATTGGTAAGCAAATAGTACAAAAAATCTTAGGATATCCACCCGTATCTTTGGTCCGATATCCGACGTTCAAATATTCGTAAACCGTATATCCGATCTATATAACTTGAAATTTCGTACTATATTTGGATTCGTCCCATGACTCCCCATCCTTATAAATTAGTATTGTATTGCATTAATGGATTAAAAGCGTTTTTAACTTTCTGTTTATCCTTTTATGTATAACTCTTGGCTCGAGTCACTTTTGAATGTTGTCATGTCTCTTTTATGTTACTAGGGTTGTGCGCGAGTTTGGTTTTTTTTGATTTTTTTGTGCTGTTTTCCTATATTTTGTACCTATATCATAGATAGCGTATATTGGTAAGTATTTATGTTAGTATATAAGTATCTTTTTTTACATTGATTAATATATTCTAATATTTATTTAAAATCTTATATCATATGGTTAATATAAGATTTTAAATAAATATTTTTTAGGTTTTGAGAACTTATTATTATATTCTTTTATGGCAATATAGCTCCATCCAAATCTTCACACATATTCTAACTATAATCGTGCAACGCATAGATCAATATATATTTTTGTCATTTTTTTCGTAAAACATTAATATATAGAAAGTTAATTTATACATAATTTTTTTTTTTACGTTTTGTTAAACACTTTAAAATTATATTTTCTAGTTTTGTTGGATTAAAAGCATTGGTTGAAATATTAAATTATTAAATATGTATTTTTCTTGGATTGTGGTGTAGAACTACGTACATTTTTACATAACGATCATATATCATTGCCCATATATTTTATTCTACAATTTATAATAATGTCACCATTAATTTTTTATTTTATATGTATCAAAACTATAGGGACAATTGTAAAAATGCCACTTTTGATGTGCCACTAATACAACATAGTTAATCCAAACATAAATAATATAATGAGTAAATAATTTTGAAAAAGTAGTATTTTTGTAAAAATTTTGAAAAAGTGGCATTTTTGAAAAGTGTCATTTCTCAAAATTTATCATTTTTNTATTTATTTTAAATTGTGGTATTACAACGTTTTCAATATTTTTTCTTTTATACTTCAAAAAAAAAACTCAAATATAACATTTTGAATAAAATCTTACATTTCAAAATTTCACCTTATTTTCTTATCTTTAGTAAAATTGTTTAATATCCTCTTTTTGAATAAAATATTTTTCTCATCTGTTAGTGAAAGTTAATTTCTCAAAATTTCTTTAAGTGAAATCATATATCCTCTTTTTTTTAAACCTTCAACCTCATGACAATCGGTTGAAACACAATTATGATGATTCAATAAATAATAATAAAAAAATTCTGTTTCATTTACCTTTTTATATATAAGCTTTTAATATTTTGATTACTTTCTAATGAACTACAATATAAATAAAATATATTCATTATTGTAATTTTTATTTAGAAAATAAAATACTCAAGTAATCCTAAAATATGGTTCACCGTGATACATGAGTTATATAATTAAACTTAAAGACAAAAATTTGATTTAACCATTTACAATTTTATGCTACTTTTAATCATCTATTTACTTATTTTTAGTAGAATATAACTCGCTCGATGTGCGATTTTTTCTTGGGACAATTACAAACAAATGCCACATTTTAATGATAAGTTTGCAACCGTGCCACATGCATGTACACTTTTGCAAATCTGACATTTATTTATCCCAAAAAGTCAGTTTTGTCCATTTCTTCTCTCCCTCACGAAATAATCCAGATT